TATGATACCCAACAGCAGCAGGAGGGAGGGACGGAGGGAGAAAGCGAAGGAGAGGGAACGGGGAGAGGGAGAGAGGAGGTGATTTACTGCTGGCAACATGTGAGTGAACAGCCAGCCCTGTGATACCCAACAGCAGGAGGGGGGAACGGGGAGAGGGAGCGAAGTGGCGGGGTAGAGGAGGTGAGGGAGAGGGAATGGGGGAGAGGGGGAGAGGTGGTGGGGTAGAGGAGGTGAGAGAGAGGGAACAGGCGGAGAGGAAGAGAGGGGGTGAGGGAGAGGGGAGAGGGAGAGAGGAGGTGAGGGAGAGGGAATGGGGAGAGAGAGAGAGGTGATGGGGTAGAGGGAATGGGGAAAGGGAGAGAGGTGATGGGGTAGAGGGAACAGGGAGAGGGAGAGAGGTGATGGGGTAGAGGGAACGTGGAGAGGGAGAGAGGTGATGGGGTAGAGGAAACGTGGAGAGGAAGAGAGGAGGTGAGGGAGAGGGAACGGGAAGAGAGGAGATGAGGGAGAGAGAACGGGGGGAGGGAGAGAGGTGATGGGGGAGAGGGAATAGGGAGATGAAGAGAGGAGGTCATGGGGTAGAGGTGGTGAGGGAGAGGGAACGGGGAGAGGGTCAGAGATGATGAGGTAGAGGGAACGGGGAGAGGGAGAGAGGTGGTGAGGGAGAGGGAACGGGGAGAGTGAGAGGAGAGGTGAGGGAGAGGGAACGGGGAGAGTGAGAGGAGAGGTGAGGGAGAGGGAACGGGGAGAGTGAGAGAGGTGATGGGGTAGAGGGAATGGGGAGATGAAGAGAGGAGGCGGTGAGGGAGAGGGAACAGGGAGTTGGAGAGGGTTATTGAGTACAGAGAGAAAGGGTCTGAGGATGGCGAGGCAGGGGACTGGAGGGAGGGTGAGAGGAAGTGGACTGAGGGAAATGGGGAGGGGGAGCAGTGGAGTTGGGGGAGATAGACGATGAGTGAGTGGGAGACAAAGGTAGGGGAAGTTCGGGTTGAGTTGAAGAGGAGGAAATGAGAGATGCAGGGAGATGAGGAATGGGATCAAAAAGCCATTGACCAATCTCGGTGTTCAAATTCCATGCTCAGATGCTAGCGGGAAGGTGAAACTGTGGCACGTGTCGACCCAGAAGTGTCTGCACACAATCGTGGAGAACCAGCAGACGTTAGCAGCAGCATTCAATGCTTCAGGGACTCGCTTTGCCAGTGCAGGGACAGCGGCTTCAATCCGACTGTATGATACAGCCAGTCGGCAGTGCCTACAAACCTTCGCATCCAGGTCTGTCCCAGAGAGAGGGTGTGGGCTTCCCAGAGGGAGCTAGATTCCTGACTCCCCATGGAGGGAGGCTGTGGTTAATCCAGGTGGAGGCAGGAATGTGAGGGAAGGGAGACCCCCCCACCCCGGGAATGGCAAACCCAGCCTGAGCAGCCAAATGGCCTTCTCCTGCTCTTTATTTGTGCATTAGTCGGAGAGAGGGAGAGGGAGTAAAACACAAAGGGAGAGAGAGAAACAGAGAGGGGCACAAAGGGAGACAGGGCAAGAGAGATACAGAGGGGGAGAGAGGGCGAGAGTGAGAGATATGGGGAGGGCAAGAGAGACACAGAGGAACAGGGCAAGAGTGAGAGAGACAGAGAGAGAGAGACACACACAGGGAGAGGGAGAGAGGGCAAGAGAGAGAGACACGGGGAGAGAGAAGGAGACACAAAGGGAGAGGGAGAGAAGAAGAAGTGGGAGAGAGAAACATGAGTCGGAGAAGAGAGATGCAGGAAGAGATACAGGGAGGGAATGAAACAGAGAGAGAGAGAGACACAGAGAAAGGGAGAGAGACAGAGAGAGAATGAAACAGATGAGGCAGGAGTGAAACACAGAAAGGAGGAGTGACACAGAGAGGGAGAATGAAACAGGAAGAGAGACATAGAGGGAGAGGGGGTCGGCGGGAGGACAGCGACATGGGGAGGGTGGTCGGAGAGAGACAGAGACAGGGGGTTGGGCAGAGACAAAGAGAAAAGGAGGTGATGACCTAGTGGTATTGCCACTAGAATATTAATCCAGAGAGTGGGTTTGAATCCTGCCGCAGATGGTAGAAATGGTATTCAGTCTCTATCTGGAATTAAGAGTTTAATGATGAAACCATTATCGATTGTCAGAAAAAACCCATCTGGTTCACTAACGCCCTTCAGGGAAGGAAACTGCCATCCTTACCTGGTCTGGCCTACACGTGACTCCAGACCCACAGCAATGTGGTTGACTCTTAACTGCCCCCTGGGTAATAAATGCTGGCCTGGCCAGAGACGCCCACATTATGTGAATGAATTAAAAGAAAGAAGCAGGGAGAGAGACACAGAGAGAGGGAGAATTAGACAGTGAGAATCTTAGGAGTGGCTACCAAGATATTTGATCTGTTGGTTTTAATGTTCCCAAACCCCGTTAGTTCAGGGAAGATTTGAGAACAGTAAATGTAATTCCGTTGATCAGAAACGAGGCAGGAAGCAGGTTGTGAAAACGAAAGAACTGTGAACACTACAAGTCTGAAACGAAAACAGAAATTGCTGGAAAATCTCAGCAGCATCTGCGGAGAGAAATCAAAGGTAACATTTCAGGTGAAGTGACCCTTCCTCAATACTTGAAGGAAGGAGGCCACTTCGTTTAACATGTATCATAGGGAAATGTTATACGCTATTATTAATGACATTTTAACAGGGCACTTTGGTACGTTGAAGGTAATCAGGTAGAATCAAAGGGGAAATTGTTCCCTTTGCTTAATCTATTGGGTTTCTTTAAGGAGGTAACTTGAGCTGTGGATTAAGGGGAACCGGTGCATGGAATGTATTTAGACTTCCAGAAGGCATTTGATAAGGGGTCATCCACATCGAAGATTATTGCTGAACATAAAAGCTTATAACATCAGCGTGGAGTGTTTGGCTGGTGAATGACACATAAACAGTGCAGATGGGCTTGTGGGGAGGGGTGATGATAAGTAAGTTGTGGCCAACACAAAAATTGTCTGCGTGGATGACAGTGAGGTGAAAGGTGTGAGGTTACAGGGAGGTATAGATGGATTGGTCAGATCAGTGGCAGATGGATGGTAGGACATTAGAAAGCTGAAAGGAGCAGAGGGATCGTGGGAGCTTGTCCACAAATCCCTGAGGGCACTTGCCTTTATCAACCGAGATTATTAGAGCAGGGAGTTCATGTTGGAGCTGTACAGGACCTTGGTCTGGCCACAGCTGGAGTAGTATGTACAGTTCTGGTCACTGTGCTATAGGTAAATGTGTTTATGTGGTACAGAGATTCACTGCCTGAGATGGAGCATCTTAGCTATGAAGAGAGACTGGGATAGGCTTGGGACTTTTTATTGTGGAGGTTGAGAGGGGACCTGTCTGAGGTGTATAAGATTATAAGGGGGATGGTCACATTGGATAGAGAGCACCTATTCCCCTTAGCTGAAGGATCGATAACACGGTGGGGCGGGGGGTGAGTGGTGGTGCTGATCACTGGCTGGGCCCAGCATTTATTGCCCGTCCCTAATTGCCCTTGGAGAAGGTGGGGGTTAGCCGCCTTCTTGAATCACCGCAGTCCCCCGTGTGGTGTAGGGACACCCCTGCAGAGTGCTGTTAGGGAGGGAGTTGCTGGATTTTGACCCCACCCACCAGTTAATGCCGGAGATCCCACCCCAACACAATCTGCGGTTCACTCCAGACTCTGCCCCCCACCCCAACCCTCCTCTCCAGTCCCAGATTCACTCTGAAATTGTTTACAATTCACTTTAGCCCATCTCCAACAGTCATGGATGGTCATCGGTCCCGTGTGTTCGCAGTGAAATTTAACCCCCACAACTTGACAGAGCTGGTTTCAGGAGGATGGGACGACACTGTGCAGGTAGGAGGTACAGACCCGAGGCTGGGGACAGGGACATGCTGTGTGTGTGGGCTCTGCGGTTGCCATTTGTACAGGATCCCCGGGGGGTGGGTATTGCTGTGTGCACGGGGATCCTGGGTGAGGGTTGCTGTCTGTATTGGGGGGTTGGGGGGGGGGGGGAGGAGGATGGTGTGTGTAAGAAGAGGGTGGGATTTACTGTCTCTATGGGGGACAATGAGGAACCACAGGAGTCCCATTTCTAACTAATGGTTTGTCTCTCTGTGTCTGTGGAATGAAGCCTGTGTTTCTCTCTGTCTAGTTCTGGACTGAAAATCATCCCCATTCACTCAGGTACGTTACTGGGATGGGGACAGTGACTGGGATCAATACCGGGAGACTGTGTAACGACCGGGGAATGGGTACACTGACCGGGAGACTGTGTAACGACCGCGGGACGGGGACGGGGAGACTGTGTAACCACCGCGGGACGGGGACTGGGAGACTGTGTAACGACCGCGGGACAAGGAGACTGGGAGACTGTGTAACGACCGCGGGACAAGGAGACTGTGTAACAACCGCGGGACGGGGACCGGGAGACCGTGTATCGACTGCGGGACGGGGACCGGGAGACTGTGCAACGACCGCGGGACGGGGACCGGGAGACCGTGTATGGACTGGGGGACGGGGACCGGGAGACTGTAACGACCACAGATGGGGACGGGGACAGGGCGACTGTGTAATGACCGTGGGACAGGGACCGGGAGACTGTGTAACGACCGTGGGACGGGGACAGGAAGACTGTGTAATGACCATGGGACGGGGACTGGGAGACTGTGTAACCATTGCGGGACGGGGACACTGTGTAACGACCGCGGGACGGGGACGGGGACCGGGAGACTGTGTAACCACCGCGGGACGGGGACGGGGACCGGTAGACTCTGTAATGACCGCAGGATGGGGACCGGGACCGGGACCGGGAGACTGTGTAATGACCGCGGGACGGGGACAGGTATGGGGACCGGGAGACTGCGTAACGACCGTGGGACGGGGACCGGGAGACTGTATGTTATTGCTGGATCTCTGTCCAGGTTTTCTAACATTTAATTTTGATTTCAGGAGAATATTTGGCCCCCACCTGTGTGGTGACTCTCTGCAGATTCATCCTGTGACCAATGAAATTCTGACAGGTTCGTGGAGGAGGGAGAACAGTTTGGAGGTGAGCACTGAGGGAATACAGCATTGAGGGGATAGATACAGCCTCGAGACTGTGGGATGAAGTTGAACTTTTCCATGTCACTTAGCCAGGGGTCAGAGATAAGGACAGATTGAAGAAGTTTGGGACTGTTCTCCTCAGAGTGAAGGAGGTCTAATAGAGGTTTTCAAAATTGTGGAGTGGAGGCTGGACAGAGCAGACACAGAGAAGCTGTTCTGTTTGGAAAAGGACCAGGAACAAGAGGAACATAGATTTGAAGTCACGTGCAAAACGAAGTTAGGATGTACCCAGCAAATGGTTAGGGCCTGGAAATATGATCGACCCAGGGTGAACCGAGGCATTCGAGAGGGACATGAGAGCAACATGGTGTTCAGTGACATGGGGAGAGGCAGGAGACTGACACTATTTAAGGGAACCACTAAACCCTGTTTAGCGATCCCAAACCTGACTGCCCTCACTGTGTTCTGTCCCTCAGGTCTGGGATTATCAATCGGGAGAGAAGATTCAAGATATTCCTGAGGAGAATGGTGCTTACAGTCTGGTAAGGTCAAAAACTGGAGTTTGGGTCCCTCTCCCTCCTCCCCCCCACCCACTGCCCCCAGCTTGGGGGCCTGGTGACGGTGGTTGTGTGGGGTCAGCTCAGAGTGAGTGAGTAGGTCTGTGTGTGATGTTCTCGTTCTCTCTCTCTCTCTCTTTCCCTACCCTCTGGCCACCAGACGTACAGCTGCCGCTGGCTGGGACCTGACCATCTGATCGCTGCAGGGACCAGGAGCAACGTCTGTCGTCTGGTGCATCGGGAAACAATGACGGTGAGTGTAATAGGGACAGGATGTCCCTCAGCATCCATCCCCAGCCTCCTCTCCACTTACTTCCAGCTGCTGGGAAATGCTGAGCAGCTGAGTCAGCGGCAGGTCTTGTCTGATTAATGTTTCTCTCTCTCTCTCTCTGTATCCAGACAGTGGGTCGGTTCGGGAACCTGCCCCGAGGGGTGTACAGCATTGACGTCTCCACAGACCGATCTGAGAAATCAATCGTTGCCGTTTGCAGCGAGAACTACGTTTACCTTCTGGAACATCAGCAAGTTTAACTGATGTAGACTCCATTCACCATCTCAGTAAGAGACACACAGAGAGACACTCTCAGTAAATTTCTGTATTTTTTTCATTTTTTTTTGCTTCCTGTAAGTTTCTGATGTTGCCAACATTGCGAGTGAAATCGGAGGGTCGCTATCAACGATAAGATCCTTTTGAATCGCATCGATCGCCTTCAAACATAGAAAAAAGGGAGGATCCGGGCTGATCCCCTGCTCTCACTTGTCTCCCCGAGAACTATCTCTGACTCCTCCCTGAAAACAGTCGGCATTTCAGCCTCTGCTCTCTGTGGCAGGGAGTATGTGGGGAGCTGTGTGTTTTGTTTTTTGGCAGGTGAGTGAACAGGACACCAAGAGATACCGAGGTCCCAATCTTTTATACACCACCACAGTGACACAATGAACAGAAACAGCATATCTTCACTTCGAGAAAAGCAGTGACAGCATCACCCAGACAAAAACCAGCAGGCAGACAGGACACAGTCCACCCAGAGGTGGGCGGGAGGGAGGGAGGTGGGTGGAGGAGAGGTGGGGTGGGGGGGTGGTTGCGGGGCTGGGGTAGGAGGAGTGAGGGAGGAAGGAAGGATGTTTGTGCTCACGGTGGGGGTCAGGAGTAGGAGAGTTGGGAGCCGTTGGAGATTTGGGAAGTGACGCTGGTGCTGCGGCCGATCCCAGCCTCAGCCTGTCCTCCTGAAGCCGTTTGGTGAAGGGCCTGGGGGCTGCTGCGAAGAACGAGGCTGCTCCCCCGTGACCCGGGGACGGGGCCCGGGTGAGCCCAGGAGCCCGTAGCCAGCGTCGGCTGCTGTCTCCAGGCCTGAGGTGTCCCCGAGCCGGGCCCTGGGCCTGGGCCTGGGCCTGGCCCAGACGCTGCTGTTGCTCCCTCTCTGCCTCCCACCCCTCTGCTGGCTCCTCGGCTGACCTGGTACGAGTGGGTGAAGGCGGAAGCTGGGGGGAGGCTGCTCAGGGCCATGTTACTGAAACCCAATCGTAAACTCTCCGAGTCAAAAGCTTCGATCTCCCGCGCTTGTCGTTCCAGTAAACTCCGAATACGCTCCGTCCGCTGGGTCTGTAACGTTAGCATCTCCTCCTCGATCTGCAGAGCGAGAGGGGGCACAGGTTTAGAAGCTGCACCGTGGACCCCCCAGCCCCACCAACGATCAACAGGACGGGGAATTGAAGACTACACCGTGATCCCCCCCGACTGACAGGACAGAGTTACAGAGCACACTGTGACACCCTCCCCCACCTCAACCCCGATAGACAGGGTGGGGGGTGGTTTTGAGAGCGCACTGTGACCCCTCCTGACCCCGACAGACAGGATGGGGGGGGAGGGTTTAGAGAGCGCACTGTGACCCTGACACCCCCCCCCACTCCATCCCTGACCCTAAATCAACAGGACATGGTGTTACAGACCGTACTCTGATAACCATGACAGGACAGAAGGGATCAGTTACTGCACTGTGAACCCAAAGGACATGACACAGGGTTAGAGACCATTACTGTGACCACTGACCCCGATCACTAATAGACCATACTATGACCCTTGATCCTGCCCTTGGTGACTACACCTTGATCCCAATACAAACCCCCCCCCATTCAGAGCACTCTGCCCGTCGCCCAGGCACTGACCCTCTGCTCTAACAGTGCCCGCCGAATGGACACTCTCTGCTCCAGCTCCTTGGCCTCCCGCTCATGCTGCGCCTCAGTGTGCATCTTGATCTTGCTCTGGTAAGCGTTCAGCAACTCGAGCTCCTGCTGCAACTGTGCTCTCAGGACCTGGTATTCGGAGTCCTGTGTCTCATCGAGACGGAGCTACACAAACAAACGGGAGGGACGGGGAGGGAGACAGAAGGAGAGAGAACGTAGACGGAGGAAATAGGGGGGGATTCCAAGAGAAATCGGAAAATATTTTACAGAAGCAATTCAGACCCCAGACAAGAAAACATCATGAAAGTAAAAGGATAAATAACGCTCGCCAGCTCCCTGCCCCCGCCCCAGGGGGGTAACACTGAAGTGGTCGGTACTCACTGCCTGGGTGGACAGCATCTCATTAATGCTGTGGTCATACTGCTCAGCCAGAATGGCTAGCTTTCGAGTTTGCTCATCCTTCAGTCGTTTCAGCACAGCCTTGTGCTCACTCTTCACCGTCGTTTCAAGGAGATGGTTCCGCAAAGCCTTATACTGTCGAGTCTGAATCTTACATGTGTCCTGGAACTGCTTCTTAATCTGCAACTCCTTCGACTGTGATGGGGGAGTGGGGGTGGGGGGGAGAAAACGGGGAGTGAGGAAACAGCAGACGAGAGAGGGCATTCAGTAAAAGGGGGAGAGAGAGAGAGGGAGGGAGAGACACAAAGCGAGAGGGAGGGAAGAGAGCACAATGTGACTCTCAGAATTTGGCGAGTTGTGGGGAGGGGGGGAATAGAGAG